TTTTAAAAAAATCGGGATTTTCGATCGCCACCCCTTTCAGGACGCCTCGAAAATCCCTTGAAAAAATTCCATTTGAGGAGTTACGGACGGGGGAAAAAAGGGAACAAAATTAGCCGAGCACATTTTCGGATAGCTACACAAAAAAGAGGCGTTTCAAGGCGACGAGCCATTCTCATCGTCGGTCCTCGTTCATCCCGACTGCTCTTGGAATTTATCTACATGTCCATCTTGCTCGGGTCCCTCTTTCTCCTCTCGCTCCCAGGACTGTCCGTTCCTCTCCCTTTCGCCCTCTCTCTCTCGCTCCTTCGGTCTCTTAAGTCACTTCTAGTCGACTTAACGTCTGCGTGACACGTGGACGTCGCGGCCGCTTTTTACGATCGCCCTCGTGAAAGAGGAGATTAAGAAGTGGAGCACGCATCCTCGATGCGTGCGAGACAGAGAGAGAAAGAGAGCGAAAGCCAAGATGGCGCCCGAGGGTTTCGAATTAGGAATTCTTTTTTTTTCCCTCTCTCCTATTCCCTCTTCTTCCCGGGGACCCTTCGCTCTTCGTCTTTCGTGCCTAGCACCTGTGCTCGGGAGTAGTCGCGAAGGACGTATTTCCGAAACATCCTTCATTTTTTATTTATACGCAGCTAGACTCATCGGAATTAATAAATAAAATAATAAAAGAAGTATTTCTTTGGTTCAACGAATGTTTCTTTTCCTCGGTGCGATAAGTCGCGGGCGAATCGTCGCCGATAGAATCCCCAATTTTATGTCACCTCGCGCGGAATAAATTTCTTCAAAAATATGTAGGAGTTAGTTCAGGCCGAAAATTATATTTTAATTTTTTAGGGAAGATTTCGTTGTTAGGGACTAGCAGAGATCGACAATTTCGGGGAGACTCCTGCACCCGTGGAGACGCGCTTCCAAAGTATCCGGATCCGGATGCGAAAGGTCGTTTCACAGGGAAGACAGTTATCCGCGAAATTATGCATCGCATCGAATCGGCCCGTTAATCCGTTGACACTGATTGCTAGAGCCGGAGAATCATGTAAAAGCCTCGCCAACGTGCGAGAGACTTTAACCGAGTTTAATTAGTGAACTCTCTACGACGCACCGGCCGACACTCGCGGTCGCGCTTTGATAAAACGGCCATCCAGAGTCTGGATATGGATGCTGGGATGCTGGGGAATGGCGAGACGCATCCAGGTAAGCGAGTTATTACTGTAAAATTACGCTCCCATCGTACCGTTAACGGGTCGGCATGGATTTCTACAAATCTTGGAATAGGCGATCTCGCGGAAAAGGCGGCGCGAACAGCTGATATTAATAAATCCGATAATGTACCGTAGAACCGTTTACAGTCGCTGATAAAACATGCTTCCGAGGCATCTGGATAAGGATCCGAGATGGGATATCTAGGAAGTTATCTCGCCGTGCAGGAGAATTACATCGGCGTGAATTTTCTTCTGCAATCTCGAAAATGGCTAGAAAATAATTACGGCGTCTTCGATTAACGACGAGATTACCGAAAAGGTATTTTTTTTTCCCCCAATAAGTCGCGACGTATCCAGGGTGTCCCAGGAACCCGGTCACTTCTGGGGATACGGATATATAATGCAATTACCACAATTTCCTTGGAGGTAATCTGCGGTTACCTGCAGGGAAATTACGCTCTCATCAGGTCACACCGTTACCAGATCTCGAGTCCTGGAATCGCCGGGTAAAATGCGCGAAAAATCCTTGATGCATCTCGCGAAACCGGGTACAACCTGCACAGCATCCCGCTCTGTTAATTTTCGCGAAACGTATCCTAAATAAATTATTGTTATTATTTTTTACACGGGGAGTTTGCCGGCATTCGGAGGAGAGACTCATTTGGGGATTTACATTTCGACAAGGCACCAGGGAATTTTTCGGACAATGTCGCGAGTCGAATCAACGGCCACTTATCGCCGAGCCTTTTCCCTCTCGCTCTTTTCTTTTTTTTATTTCTCCAAGTGGTGCAATAATGTTATCGAGCGCGATATATAATTGGCCCGAGATGACGGGGCACGGTTGAGAGAGATGTCGAGTAAACGAGAAATCGCGTTACACGGTCCCGGCAAATTCGAATCGACAAGCCCCGACCTTTCCTGAACGTCGTTGAACGAACAATTTCCTCGAAAAAAAAAAGGTGAATTACTTAAAACCTTACAAAAAAAAATTATTTCGCGAACCGAGGCAGACTTTCACCTTTCGGAAAAGTTACGGAGTGACTTTTTTCGCCACAAGGGAGGACCGGATGAATCGATTCCCGGTATATATCCGCTGTTTTATAGCCCCGTCGCGTCATCGTTAAAAAAAAAAAGGGAGGAACAAAAAAAAATAAAAGAGCCAACATTCCGTCTGGCCGGATCCAACGGACTCGCGAATTACCATTCCTTCAATCTGCGCATTCGACGTTACTTCGCGCCTGGTTACCTGAAAATAATTACCAATTACTCGAGCCTCTTAATCGCAACCGCGATTTCGCGAGTACGTTTCTGTGATTCCGCTGAAAAAAAAAAAATGAAAGGGAAGGAAAGAAAAAATCTCCCACGTCCGTCGATGTCAAAAAATCGGGGGAATACTTTGTCGACGATCCTTCGACTCGACGTTCCTGTGAGATAAAACGGGAGGAGATCATTTTAATTCAGAGTCTACGAATTTTGGAGGTGGTTCAAATCGTACCGAAAAAAAGGAAATAAAAACAGGCTTCCGAGTAATCAGCAGAGGTCCTCAATTAACAATCGTTGCGGCCCAACAAGGCGTGAAATGGCGTTAAACAAACGACCGGGAAGGAAGGGTAATTCGTTAAAACAGTGGATCGGATTCGAGCGTAGACGAGGAGTTTATTTCATAAATTTCCCCCATAGAAAATGCAATTTGTTTTCAAACGCATCCTGGCGAGGGGCCAATTGTCGTATTCATTTATCAGCCACATTAATCGGGCCGGAAAATATCGATTCTTAATTCGATAATTCCGAGTCCACCGCGCGCCCAATTTCCCGTTTAACAAAATTCGGTCGTTACCGGACTTAAAGTTAGTCGTGTGTTTCGGCCATTTTAACCATGATAGATTTTCCTTCCTTATCCTCCCGGACGAAGGAAACGTTGCTCGCGATGAACATTGTCTAGAAAAAAAAATTGCACGAAACGATATATACGCTTAATGCGATTTTTCGGACACGCAACGCCACCGAATTTCCCCCTTCGGATAATTTTTGGCCTTTTAGAAAACCCCCAAAATTCCCGGCAAAAAGGGACGGCCGCGTCGATGATTTCGCGCCACGATCGATAAATCGATTACCCACCGACCTTCTCTTCGGTATCGATCATTTATTCGCATTTTCCCAGCGGTGCCGTTTGCCGGGGATAATTTCGCGCGGCGCGTTAACGTCGATGAAATTAGCCCGTTAACGCCCAACGGCCGCGCAAAACGGCCGCATTTTTTTCCCCGCGAGGGTTTTCCGCGTTTTCCCAACGTCCCTCGCAAAGTCAACGTTAAATTAAACCGAGTCTTACGCCAGAGTCATCGACATCTTGTGCCCCGATTTTCGTCGACAAAGGTGCACTTGCACCATAAACTCCCCCTTTTCCGCGTTTCGTCGAAGAAAAGGAAGAAAAAGGGTTGACAAAATAAATCGTGCGACAGAATCGATTGTCATCGATTGTCGGTCAGCTTCTGGCGATTTTCAACGGCCACGAGCTCGACGGGCTCCCTTTTGTCGCAAACAAAACGAGGGAGCCGGTCATGTCGTCACTCTTCTTGCCCGCGATCTCATTATTACTCATTATCGCCGATTTTTCCCTCTTCCTTTCTCTATCGCGCCCTCCTCGTTTCTTTGCTCTGCCCCGTTCGTCAAGGTTCAAACGTTACTCCGCACATTCGCGCAGCCGGGGGTTAGAGAGAGAACAGTCATCGCGGCGTTTACTGCCGCATGATTCTCGGGGTAATGCGAGGTAATTGAAAATTGTCGGTAGTCATTCGCCGCCGATCATCGAGGAGAGATAGGTTAGACCATCGCGAGATCTTCCGTCGTTTACCGACGATCCGTTAACCCGGGTAGAATTTTTTTTTTCACCAATTTTTTCCCCTCGGAATATCTACAATTTTTACAGCGGTTAAACGTATAGACCGAGCGGATCGTTGATTTTTTATTTTTCGGCCGCGATTCAACGTCGATCTCGTACCTCGTCCCTGTCCACGTTCACGTGCTCACCGATATAGACATCATCATCCCCCGTTAGTCTCCACCCTTTGATCATTTATAAATTAACCACCGAATTCGATTCCGAAATTACGCCGGATCACTACCCGCCCGTTATCAACGTCCGTATTCTTATCGTCGTCGCTGCCAACGGTTAAAATTTTGTCGCGATCTTCGCGACCGAAACTTTGTTCCGACGTCTCGATCGTCGGCGGATCTTTTTGGCGTTCCGACGCGGAGACTCGTCCGAAAAGTTGACTTATCGACATGGCCACTTTCTCCATTTTTTTTCTCGGGACGGAGGATCGTCGCCGTTCACGAAGATCGAGCGAAAGGCTTTGCGGAACACTCGCCACTCTCGTGGTTCGCGACGATCCGTCATCGAGCACCATTAGCATATTTTTCAACGATCCCCGATAACGTCCGTTCACGCTCCAGATTTTCAGTCATCGACAGCCCGTCCGGCACTTCGAGGTAACTTCACCACTTCGGCACTTGCGATCGACCCTGCGAATTTAACCGATCTCTTTGGTGCACCAAACTCCCCCGGATAAGCCGACACCACATCCCCGTCCAAACGTTTCGACCCGAGTTTCGAGGTGCAACATAAATCCCCGTCCGACCGTCGACCCCGGACCCCGCAGCCACCGATCGGCCGATTTCCTCCAAACTCGGGCTCGGGCTCGGCCGCCTCGTCTTCCCGCCCCGTCCGTCCCGCGCGGGAAATTCGAACCCGTCCGGGGGCTCCGCAAGGGACGGGGAGGTAGGGGGTGTCGTGGTACTCACCGGAATTGTAATATTCCTTAAAGTAGCGCGTCGCCGCGCGCTGGACCATCGAGTAGTACAAGTTAACGAACGACGTGGACTGGTTCTGGGCGGAGAGCGCCATTTACGCCGGCGGTCGCGAGCGGCGGAGGCCGCGGGCTCGGCACGTGATATACTGGGACCGGGGGGCCCGGCGCGTCTCTCTCCCTCGACCGGTCTCTCTCGGGGGCGGCCGCGCGACTCGGGCCCGGTCTCGGAGCGCGTCGGCGCGCGCGCCCACTCGCGCCCACTCGCGCCCTCCCGCTCGCTCGGACTCGGGCGCGCCTCGGGCGCGCCTCGGGCCCCCGAGGGAGACGCAGGCCGGGCTAGGTCGGGCGCGACTCGGTCGTCCGCATGCCCCTCTCTCCCTCTCTGCCTCTTCCTCTCGCTCCCTCGCGCGCGCCTCCGCTCTCGCTGGGCAGGCTCTCGTCCCGACACTCGGCGCTCTCTCGCGCGGTACCCGGCACCGGTAGGCAAACTCGGCAGACTCAGCGCCTACTCGCAGTCGCCAAGACCGAGACGCCTCCGAGCGAGCGCCGGGCGGCGTTGCCAGACTTAGACCCCGAGCCGCCGAGGCGCGCGGCGCCGGCGAGCGCGCCGAGCCGCCGCCGCCGCCGCCGCCGCCGCCGCCGTCGCGGGAGTGGGGCGGAGGGGAGAGCGCCGGAGAGGGACGGGCGCCGCAGGGGAGGGACGGAAGAGCGAGCCGCCGCGAGACGGGCAAGACGCCCGAAGGGGCGAAGGCGCGACGGTCCCTCGATGACCGGGGTCCTTGGGACCGGGATTTTCGGCATTATTTCGGGAGCTTAGGCGGGAGGGAGAGAAAAAACGCGGTCCCGTGACTTCCGAGCCCCGTTCTTCCGAATTCCTGCCCAGAGATCTCCGGCGAGAATCGGCCTCTCGGTGGCGTGCCCCAATTTTCTCACCACCCCGCGAGACGCCTTCCAGGCAGGACTCCCCCGTTTCGGAGGATTCTCCGATCGCCCTCCCCAAGGAGCCCGATTTCTGCGGTTCTTAACGTTACCGACCGACGTCGACTCGACGTCCCGCGGCGAGAGGGGGAGGAGGAGGACGCCGCCACGCGGCTCTCCGGGCGAGCGAGAGGGACGCAGCGAGAGCGGGGAAGCTCGTGGCGGGGGACTCGCGGGACTCCGACGAGGGGAGGCGGAAGAGGGGAGCCCGCGTCGCGGAGGGGGAGGTCGGCCGAGCGCGGAGGGTGGGAGATCCCCGGCCAGCGCGTCCTCCCCCTCCCGCTCCCCTCTCGCCACCTCCGTCCCCCCCTCGTCGCGATGTGCCCGCGATGCAGCGCGATCGCCGCCGCCGCCGAGTCGCACGGTACGCGCGCCGGAGAACGACCAGAGGACGCGCGTCCCTCTCGCTCTCTCTTGCTCCATCTCCCTTTCTCGCTTCCTCTCTGCCTGCGGGGAGAAAGAGAGAAAAAGAGAGAGAGAGAGAGAGGGAACTTCGAATCGATATCACTCGGGCAGGGAAAAAAAGCGGGCGAGCTTCTCTAATCGCGACACTTCCGGCCGGCGCGCGAAGGATCGGCGCCCCGATAGGTCGGGACCGGCGCCGCGACGCCGAGCGATCGACCGCCATCTTGCGCGGGAAGAACGCGAGATTTTATCCCCCTGGGTGGATTTTCTTTCGATGGGCGGAACGGCGGATGTGGGAATTATTATTCTCGTTAAAAAGTCGATCGCATTTCGCGCGCGAGAAGGCTGAACGACCTCGATGGAAACGCGCGAGGACGGGCGAGCGGCGGGAAGAAACGGAACGGCCGTTGTTTCGACGGACGGCTCGCGATGAAGCCCTTGACGCGTCCTTCTACTTTTTCTCGCGGCGACGCGGCGGAGATCGTCCTCGCGAGCTTGTAACGGCCAACGATTGCGCCGCCATCTTGCCGCCAACGAGGAGGGCCTCCTTCCTCGGGAAATTATTTTATTCGGCCGTGATCAGGCATGTACGAGGGAATCGAAGAAAGTCGAGGAAGCGGAGGGGGGCACCGATCCGAACGAGACAAATGAAACGCAACGTGCAATATTAAGCCAATAATGGCGCGGGGCGGCAGGGCGGACCCGCGATAGAAGAGAAATTCCGCAGTCAAGTTTTCCCGTCTCGCGCGAAATCTCATTACGCGTCGAGTTTGCCCTTGGTACAGTCGGCCCTCGTAATTCCCGCGGCATTCCGAATTTTGTATTGTCCCACGGCCTTAGCGAGTCGGCGGGGTGACCTTTTGGGTAACGTCGACAAGGCAGTTTCGAGATTAAAAATTCCGGATTTCTATCGGGGAAAAATAATCGGGAGGGGTCGATTCGAGTCGCGTCTTCCCGTTTTCGCGCGACGACATCGCTCGATCCGGACCTACGTCCCGAGGACGGAATTTCGATCAAATTCCCGTTTAATTCGATTCTCCCGATTTATCCAAGTACCGAGAAGGAAGGATTAAAAAGGAGGGAGGGTAATCATCGAGATTTTTTTTACCCGGTCCCCGCCGTGTCCTCGTCGGACGGAACGAGCGATCGATCGCCGCCGATCGAACGGTATCCGTCCTGGTGAACCTTCGATCGGTTAATAACCATCGACGGTTCTTTTTACGCCAAATCAAGGAAGTCCACGTCGTTAATTAAGATTACCTCTAAGTGGCTCGATACCGACCGATAGCAGGGGATAGCCTTTTCTTCATTTTCTGCCGATTCTCGACGCGGACCGACAGATTTGCCCGGACGCGTCCCATGTCGGGTGATAAAGTACTTTTTTCTTCCGGGCTGTCGCACGAGTTTTCGAAAAAGGAAAAAAAAAATTCCTTCGTGAAGGGAACGAGCCAATTAACGCGATTATTCCGTGCAATCGATTCGTCCCTGTTACAAAATGTTGCGGAGTCGATAAGAGACAGCGGAGAGATAAAATTAAATTCTAGGAAGAGTAATTTAACGTTCTAATGACTTTGTAACGGGTAAATCACTCGATTTATTTCGGGAACGAGGGATAGAAGCGTGGAAATTATTTTAATTCGAATTTTCATGCTGGCTCGTCTTAAAATGAACCCTGATTCCTTTAAAAAAAATTTGCAGGACGTAAAATATTAAAAAAACGAAGAAAGAAATATTTTACATATTTATTTGCAAATATTTTAAGGGGAAAAACGTAAGTTCACTTCCCGTAAAGTACTTCCCAGGCCGATCAAAACCGCGTGACTCGTTATCCCCACAATTTCCCAGTCAACTTTCTCGCGCTCGATTCCTTTTAATTGAAAATGTAAGAAAAGGGGGAAGAGTCAAGGGTCGATCGAATATTATCGGCGATTATGCGAGGCCTGACCATCGGCGGGATCACCGGAGCAGACATTTCGAAAGTTCGCCTTCCCCGAAGCGCGATGACCGAGTCGACAAACGCCGCGGCTAATTATGCTAATTCTCGTCGTCGCCGGACAGAGGAAAAAAGAAAAACGCGAAAGGACCGAGAAACCCGGGAAGGGAATCCATCGCTCGGCCCAGAATCCCGCGAGTTCGCGATTTCCCTCTTTTTTCTTTTACCCCTTCCTTTGCACGCGACCCTTTTCCCTTCCCGCGAACTTGCCAACTGGCTCAATGGGAGACAAAAGAAGAAAAGGAGAGGCAAAACGTTCCCCCCCTCCCGGCTCGTTTCCCTCGAAACTTCCGCGATAACCTTCCGGTCTCTTCCCGCCCCCCGATCTCGCGAATTTCACTTTCGACCCTGCCGGGATGGCACTTCCCAACTTGCGATATTCGCGAATCACGGACAGATGCGCCAATAAAGAGAAAGAAAACGGTCCAAGGTGCGAGATATTTATTTTTCAAGAAAGAAATGAAAATCCCTGGTAATCCTCCCGCGTTGCGATTTTCTCGAGTTTTCGAGGAAATGGCCTTTTGGAAGTCGTCCCGTAATCTTGGCAAAAAAATGTTTTGTCAATTCAGAAAAATCAAGGTCCCCTCGAATGACCGGCAAGGTCGTTGCCGAAATCCCTCCACGACCTCGCGTGGGGTCAGGGGGAATTTACGGAGGGCCAGGGATTCCCGGAAGGGTTCGATCGAAGGGTGAACGAGGAAGGGGTCGAACCAAGCGACAACCTTACAGGGGGTGGAGGTGCACCGGAAGCTCGCTGGGGTGCGGAGGCGGCGGCGCCACCCACCTATCCCCCGCCGCGGGGGGCCGTGGCAGAAGGGTTTCCAATGAGCCGCCATTTATCTCCCGGGACATTCGCCGACATTTTTCTCCACTAGTGTATCGATTTTAGGTTTAGGCGATTATACCCCGAGTTGCAGGCGCTCGCTGCACCTCCGAGGGTGCGAGCGGAAGGGGAAGGTGGGAGAGAGAGGGAGACGTCCCGATACCTACACCCTCCCACGTAACCTCCGTCTATACACACCGATATCGAACCACTCGGGCAGCCGACATCGCCGGGACCGGCCGAGGTCCTGGATTTTTCAGGGATTCCGCCTTTCGGGACTCCGCGGGGAAAATCGACCCCCGAATTCGCCGCCTGTCGCGGGGGCGACCCGAACCGCGAATTTCACCTCTCGACTTTGCGATCGCTCGATTATTTTTTTATCTTTAACTTCGTTTATAAATACGCAATTTTAATATCGATCGTTATTAATCATGAAAAATACAGCCAGGCGTGAAGGAATCCGGGAGGCGATTTATCTTCCACTTTTTCAGCGCCGATCGCTTGTCGAGAAATCCCCCCAGAAATTCCATTTCCTAGATTTCCCGACGTCCGGCGGGTCCTCGCAAAGGGAGCCTCTCGGTTTTCGCATCCCCCGGGGAAAAAGGACCCCAAGGAGAGGGTGACGGGGGCAAAAATGATCCGCACTCTTTTTAGAGTCCTCTTTCTAGACGCGCGGGGCCAAAGGGCCAAAGAGGAAAGGCGGGTCTTCGTAAATTCCCGTTACAAGAGCGACAACCATCCCCTTCTGCCCTCTTTTCACCTTTTTTCGCATTACTTTTAATTAGCACCGGCCACCCTCGACCGCGGCTCTGCCCCGGGAAAAGACCCGAAGGGAGATGAGAGAGAGAGACCTCCTCCGATAGCAGGCACCTCACCCCATCGAATTTCAGAATTTC